TGGTGTGGAAGGTACCGCCCACCACAGGTACTGGCAATGCCATGTGTTTGATGGCGTTCGGGAGTACGCGGTGTCGGAGGCCACCCTGGAAGCGGCGAAGAGGGCGCCACCTGGTGACTTGCTCTATTCGCGTGGGCTTTACCCCAACTCCTTTCTTCCTGCCTTGCCGCCCAGGAATGACTCTGGTGTTTGGTGTTACGATCGTGGAGCTCGGGCCCGTGAACATTTTGTCGTCACGGGCTCGGTGTTCACTGACGGGTCGTGCAGGAAGCTGCTCCACTGGGGCGCAACAGACCGTGCGGGCTGGGGTTTCGTGGTTGTTGGTGATGCTTGCTACTACGGAGCGGTCTTTGGGCCGCTACCTGGCCATCGCCAGACGTCCGCTCGTGGTGAGTTGTACGCAGTGGTTCAGGTGCTATCCGTCGGCGTGGCCCCGCTCCATATCTTCGCGGACTACATGCCTTTGCTCGAGGGGCTGGCGCGTGGCAAGCGCTGGTGTCTAAACCCGAGGCGTGAGAATGTGGATCTTTGGCGTCGTCTATTTCACCACTTGGAGGATCATGGAGGTTTTTCCGTTTCTGGAGACCTGGAGTGCCCGATTCGGCTTTCGTACGTCAAGGGCCACTGCAGTGAGGACTCCTGGCATCGTCGCTGCAACGATTTGGCAGACCAAGCGGCTAAGAGGGGTCGCCAGCTGCACGACCTTCCCCAAGATATTGTCAAGAGCTACACCGACTCGCTCTGCGCGCTCAGATCGGTCGCGACCTGGATTGCTAACTCGTCCAGGATGATTTTCGACGGCACCGCGACACCCGACCGCGTGGACGTCCCACGGAGGCGCGACATGGAGCTGCGCGGCCGCTGGGCGCAGCTGGCCGCGGCTGGCGCTGCAGGCAGCGGCGCTGGAGGGGGGCGACGCGGCGCGGGCTCACCCGCAGGCGGACAGGCCTGCCCTCCTCAGCTCCTGCATCGAGTGAGGTTGAGGGGCAAGAAGTATAGTTGTGATCGATGCTCCGCTTACGCGGTAACGCCGAAAGGTGCTGCGAGACTTAGGAAGAGTCTTTGTAGGGTCGCGGAGGCGGCGGCCCTCTGGGGCCTCGAGGGTGTTTCGCCTGAGCTTTCCTTGGCTGCGGCCCTTGCTGGGCCGAGGGGCCCTGGTGGGCCGTGCGGGGGCGTCTCGGGCCCCCCCTCTGAGGCTAGCCCTTCCTTGGAGCTTCGAAGCGTCGAAGCCTCAGCTGGGCCAGAGAGTTCGCCGCCCATCGCGACCGAGGGTCTTGAGCGGTCCTTGGCTTTTAAGCGGGTGAGGTTCCAGGTGGATGGTGGGGGTGAGGATCAGTTGGATGCTGAGTTGGGGGAGGCGCGTCGGCGCGCCAAAGAGGCACGCTCCCTGGCCCCGCAGGAGCCCCCCCCCTCCGCCACCCCCCCCCCGCTCCTGCCAGGACGGTGAGAGACCGCAGGGCGGGTGGGCCCCTGGAGGGCCCGCGTCCGAAGGCGCCTCGGACGGCGGCTTCGCCCTCTGTGTCTGGCGGAGTCGGGCCTGTGGGCTCTGGCGGGTTTGCGGGGCCTCCGCCCTGCAAGCGCCCTCGGACCTCTGGAGGTCCTGGTGCGCCTTCCTGGGCGCGCGTGATGCCACCCGCCCTGAGGTCCCTCTCCCCGCTCAGGGCCCTGTAGGGCCCAGTAGTGCTAGAGGGCACCATATTAGTCTTGCTGGCGAGACCCTTGCATTCTGCCGCCGCTGCGGTGCCAGGGCCCAGCCGTCGGCCCCTCGTTCCCGCCTTTGGGGCCAGTGTGAGGGCTTTGCATCCAGCAAAGACGCCACGTATTTGAAGCGCCTAGAGGCGGGTAAAGATCCCCTTTCGGGCGAGTGGCGGGGTGAGCCCCGCCCCCTCTTCCCCACAGACGACGCCTGCTTCTGGCTCCGTCTGCGGTAGCCTGAGGTGGCGCCTCGGGCTGTCTTTCCGTCTAATCGTCGGGTTGCGCGCCCTCGACCTTTGCCCTTCTCTTTGCCCCTCTTGTCTGTTGCTCTGCGCACTCGCTCGGTCTGGTCGTACCTCCTCCTCCTCCTCCTCCTCCTCCTCCTCCTCCTCCTCCTCCTCCTCCTCCTCCTCCTCCTCCTCCTCCATTCCTTCTCATCATAAATAGCTCCTCCCTGTCGCACCCCGAGGCCAGTTTTCAGGGCGGGCTGAGCGTTTCGCCTGAGACCTCCTCACCATCTATAACCCTGAAGCCTGAAAACTGGCAACAGCTTCACACATGGAGGGCGGGTGGTTCTCAAAATGTGGCTCTCGCCTTACCGCCGCGTATATTCGTTTAAACATTTGCAATAGCTTCGCGAATTGAGGGCGGGTCGTTTTCAACATGTGGCTCTCGCCTTACCGCCGCGCACATTCGTTTCAATCATTTGCCAGAGCTTCACGGTTTGAGGGCGGGTCGTTTTCAAAATGTGGCTCTCGCCTTACCGCCGCGCACACTCTTGATACATAATTTGCAAGAGCTTCACGGATTGAGGGCGGATCGTTTTCAACATGTGGCTCTCGCCTTACCGCCGCGCACATCTGTTGTAGAAAATAGCAAAGGCTTCACGGATTGAGGGCGGCTCGTTTTCAAAATGTGGTTCGCCCCTTACCGCCGCGCACATTCGTTCTAAATCCGCCGACCCCTTGGGGTCACGGCGTGTGAATTGCTTCCCCCTCCCCAAACCCCTCCGCGACGACGTGACTGTACGTGCTCCGGACGTGCACCCCGCGAAGCGAGAGGAATATTGGCAAGAGTTTCGCGGACCAAGAGGCCCCTATGACGGCCCAAGAGGACCCCAAGACGGCCCCCCAAGGCGGCCGCGAGAGGCCCCCAAGACGGCCTCCGAAGGGGCGCAACGGCGCAAAAGCGCTCCAATACGGCCAAAGACACCCCCAAGAGGCTCCAAGAGGCCCCCAAGAGGCCCCCAAGGGGTCAAAAAAAAAACACAAGAGGCCTCCAAGATGTCTTCAGGAAGCCTCCCAAAAGGCTCCAAAGAAACCCCCCAAAGGCCACACAGCGACTGGAGTGCAATGCCATTTTTCCAACCTGGGCGAACTGCGGCGCAGCGCCAGCCAGGTGGAAGTTGGTCCCAGCGGCGCCCATGATTAGAGCCAGCGCTGGAAGGAAATATGAGAGGGAATACGGAAAGGAGGGAGAAGGGAAAGGCCCCCAAAAAATCCCCAAGAGGCCCAAGGAAGCTCCCAGGAGGCCTCCAGGAGGCCTCCAAGAGGCTCCCAAGAGGCTCCGCGACGACGTGACTGTACGTGCTCCGGACGTGCACCCCGCGAAGCGAGAGGAATATTGGCAAGAGTTTCGCGGATTGAGGGCGGGTCGTTTTCAGAATGTGGCTCTCGCCTTACTGCCGCGCACATTCGCTTTAAACATTTGCAAGAACTTCACGGATTGAGGGCGGGTCGTTTTCAAAATGTGGCTCTCGCCTCAGCGCCGCGCACATTCTTGATACCAAATTGTAAGAGTTTCACGAGTTCCCATGATCGACGTACCAGAAATTTTGTTTTGGAAGGGTTCACGATTTTGAAGGCGCAGCAGTTACGATGATTCGCGGAGTGGAGGTCCCAGGAATGGCGTTCTGGCACGATTCAGGATCGTCAAGACGCAACAGTCAGGTTCATCCGTGGCGTTGGAATACCGAGTATGATTTGGTATGCTTCAGGGTCTTCAAACAGTTGTCTTCCAACGAGGCAGGTCCCCCTGTGGAAGTGAACCGAAGCAGGGGCACATGAAGAGGGAGCTTTTGGGGAGGGTTTATTCCAACATCGTTGGTGAAACGTGGGTTTACACTGGTCCTCCTCCCTCCTCCTCCTCCTCCTTCTCAATTCGGTGCCAACCCACGCGGCCGAACGGGGCGCGAGTCGAGTCGCGAGTCGAGAGCCGAGTCGAGCGAACATTAGCCTTGGAGGAGGAGGAGGAGGAGGAGGAGGAGGAGGAGGAGGCGGAGGAGGAGGGGGAGGAAGGGCCCCCGAGGTCTCCATCTCGGCGACGCGCCCGAGCTCGACCCAGCGGGGAGGTGCTCCCGAAAACAACGCGACCGAGGGGCCTCCCAGCAAGTGGGAAGTGGGGGCACGTGCTCGAAGCAGCTGTTGCTGGGCCCCGGAAGCTCAGGCCTACAGGAGCTGGTGGGGTCCGAAATCCCTGAACCCAAACATGTTGCCGCCTCTTTTTCGGCTCGTGCTTGACTGCCGCCGGCTTCTGCCGGCCGTCCGCGCCGCAGGCTTCTGCCGGCGGAGCCGCCCTCGTGCTCCTTCCGCCAGCTTCCGCCGCTTTCCGGCGAGGACGAGGTGCCAACTCATTCGATCCTCTTAGGCGAGGCCGTTTCTGGAACATCTCCTGTATGACGAGCGTTGCGACCAGAATGCCTCACGGCCAAGCAGTCAAGCCACGGCGAGAGGAAGAGGGGGAGCAGGATGGAGGAGGATGCAAGGGAGGGCGAGAAGGCGAAGATGCGAATGGAGGATGAAGACGGGGCGGAAGCGGATGAGGACGCTTAGCCAAGGAACAACTCAAGAGCACGAGATGGGGTAAACACAAGGCAGGAGAAGTCGGCATCGATCCGGGACATCCGATCGGATGAGAACGTGCGTCGGATCGGGCTGCACCGCGTCAGAGTCGAACTCGAATCGGATCGGCCGCGCCAAATGCACAGTGGTGCAAGGGAAGCATCGGGCGCATCGGATCGTCGGAACACTGGAATCGAATCGGGCCGGGCTGGCCGGAATCGATATCGAGATCGAAGCAAGTCGAACAGTTCAATTCAATATTGTCCCTTAGAGGAGAGGGGGGGGAGGAGGGCGATGAGAAGGGGCAGAAGGATGGGGTGCTGCGTCTTACAGAACACACACAGGGGGGATCAACAAGAATCTTGGACAAAGCTTGGACGAGCCTCCGCACAGCCTCTCCGAAAGAAAAAATGCGAGGACCCTTCGCGGGAGAGCCGCTGCCGGCATCCGAGAACAGCTCTTTTTGTTTCCGGCAGGCCAGCGGGCCGCGCTCACACTGGACAAACAAAAGCAGACGGTTGCGTGCGTGCGCACGTGCACTAACACAAATCTGCGTTTCGATGCGACCGTCCTTTGACGGTGGACAACGACGCGCACAAGGATGAGGATGAAGAGAGGGAGGAGAACGCGCAGAGGATGGAGCTGCGCGCCTCGCAGCATGGCGATACAGCGTGCTTCAGGCGATGCCTGCAGTGCGAGCGAGATATAGGTGCCCCACGCTGTTTGGGGGTACATGTCGCTCTGTCCGCACGGCTCGCACAGCAAAGCTGCGCGCCAACTCGTTGCAGCACGTGGCGACGAGGAAAAGGCAGCGGAGGCGCAGTGCCGCGACGAGAAGAGAGAAGAGAATGGGCAAGATTGTGGAGACTCTTGCGGGGCACCTGGAGCCGCAAAAAGGAGGAGGACAGGAAGGATGAGACGACGAGCAGAGGAAGGAGGCGGAGGAGGACGACGGAGGACGGTAACAAGGGGGGGTACTCGTGAGCTCTTGAGGCTACCCTGCGGGCTGTTGGAGCCGTCTGAGGTTATCTTGGAGGATGTGGGGAGCTTCGGGGGGGGGGGGGCTTTCGGGGTCCTCTTGGCGCCATCTGAGGGCCCCTTGGACGCTCCAGTCGGCCGCGGGGTGCCTTGTCCAAGCTCCATGGGAGGGGGGGAAGGGTCAGGCTACCCGACGCCGCAGGCCGTGCCGCTCGCTCCCAACCGCCCTCCCTGCCCTCCCTCTACACAAGTAGCACCCGAATCTCAGCACAGGCAGAGGCCGCCAGCGACAACCAGGGGGGAACAATGGAGACGCCAGCCAGGTGCGCGATGTCTGCCAGGTGGGCCGCACGTGCCAGGTGCGCCACATTGAGCACTGGGTCGACCGCCCGATCCCTGTCAACAACCAATGCCAAGTGGCGGCGGGTTTGCGAGTATTGTGTGTGTGTGTGTGTGTGTGTTGCGTGTGGGCGTGGCCCGCAATCAGTTTGCAGTTGTGTCTTCTAGCAAGGGGAACAGACCTACACACGCAACAGGCAGCACGCCGCCTACCCGATTGCGGGGCCTGCACGCGGCAGGCAGTCTGCCGGTCCCCTGCCGTCCCTGCCACAAGCCCATGCAACATGATCGTGGGGCGTCCCCGCATGATCCAGAGTTTGGTGCAAAAGTGCACTTTGTATTGTTTCTGGTTTGCCAGGGATGAACGGGGGGGGGGGCTGGCATTGCATTCAGCAGGCGCCATGCTGCTCCCCCCCGGCCGCCCCTGTCAAAAACCAATGCAAGGTGATCGCGGAGCGTCCTCGCATGATCCAGATCTGTATGCAAGAAGAAGGGGCTTGAAGAGGAAACGCACTCAATCACTCACGCCCAGAGGGCTGGTGGGATTGTCCAGGCCGCCGTCCAAAGGACTCCGATGATGGCCTTCCGAGGATTCAAGTCCAACCAGCCCTCTGGGCGGAGGTGGTGCCCTTCCAGTTTCCTATTCGAACCCTTTCTTCTCCCTACCCTCTCCCCTGGGCTCTGCCCCCCCCTCCACCAGACCCATCCCCCCATTCCACCCACCCCCCGTCGCCCCTCCCCCTCCAGCCCCCTCCGCTCCCCCCCTCCCGCCAACTCCCCCGCCCCCCCCCCTCCACCCCTCCCACCCCCCCCCCTCGCTCCACTCCCCCTCCACCCTTCCCCCCCCCACTCCACCCCCACCTGCACCTCCCTGCCACCTCACCACAACCCCATCCACCTCCCCTCCCCTCCCCCTCCCCTACCCGCCATCTCACCCTTGCCGCCCCTCTTCCCCTGTTCCGTCGTGCTCCCCCTCTATTCCCTGCTGCTGCTGCTGCTGCTGCTGCTGCTCATGACTCAGGACTCTGCGAACCTGGTCGTGAAAACACAAAGCCAGCTTACGAGGAATAATTCATCAAGAGGGCACCCTTGAAAGGCAATAGGGGCCACCTTCCCAAACTTGAGTTGGGTGTGAGACGGAGGGCATTGCAAGGAACGGACAGCTTCGTCCCTCTGCCCAGGCTAAAACCACCACAAATCGTGCAGTATATAACTGGCATCCTGCTACCCTCGACCCAAGACGTGACAAGAGAGTGATGCAAAGCAGGAGCACGGACAATGATGTTTCTGAAGAGGTGGGACATTTCGGCGCAGCTAATTTCAGAGCTGGGGCAACATTTGAGGCATTGAAAATGGGTACGTTGCCAAACGGGGTGGCGACTAACAACGAAAGGGCGAAGTTTTCGCTGTTCAGGGGCACGCCGGGGCACCTTCGTTGGCCATTCTGTCGGCAAACCTGTTGCCTAGGATTCGAGTTCGATCCAATTCGTCAGTGGCCTCTTCGACGGAGCTGTGGGCCTTGACCTTGGCAATCTTGAGATCGCCAGCATCGGTGTGATGAGCAACATCTCTCCAGTAGCGGCTATACAACCTTTGGCCAGACAGGGCGGCTTTGGGAACCGTCATCCCCCTCAACACCGCCTGGAAATCAACCACGGAACTGTCATTCGCACTAATTCCAGCATGCCTGGCAGCAGTGACAAAAGCAGCATGCTCAGCGTGCGCGGCTTGTTGAGGGTAGAGGCTAGGGAGGGGAGCAAACAACCCTCTAATGAAATTCCCGTCGCCGTCGATTTGGACAGCAGCTATGCCTGCTCTCGCCAAGATGTCGAACCTTGGGTGGAAGCATGGCAATTCGCCTGGGCATCGTTGCTGCATGGGCTGGTGGGAAAAGGCGAAGCGTCAAGAGCTGTTTCCAAGACGGCCCGAAGACGGTGCACCAAGAGAGCCCCAAGAGGAGGAGGAGGAGGAGGAGGACGAGGAGGAGGAGGAGGAGGAGGAGGAGGAGGAGGAGGAAGAGGGGGAGGAGGAGGAGGAGGAGGAGGAGGAGGAGGAGGAGGAGGAGGAGGAGGAGGAAGAGGGGCCACACAAGGTCTCCAAGACGGCCCGAAGGCCGGAAACGTAGGTCCGGCGTGATACATTCGCCAAAACGCGGTCCAATACGCGGAGCCAACACGCAACGTATTGACACGGACGTCTTGAACACGGCACGTGTTGCGTATCAAAACGTGCGCATCGAGGCAGCTGAGATGTCCAAATTGTCCAAGTCGCCGTCCAAGAGTCTCTGGTGGCCTCCTCATGCTTCAAGATAGCTCGACGGCAGCCCACGGAGAGCCCCGAAAGGGGCGGCAGCAGATCCCCTTCAATGCGCCAGAGAGCGCTCCAAGACCGCTCCAAATTTCTCTGTGAAGGGGCCCCAGGAAACACAAATAGATGCACACAAATGACAGGATTCCCCATGCATGTTTCCCATATGTTCTGGGTTTTTCTCCCCCCACACTTCCCATATTTTCCAATATTTTCCTGGGGATCGACGATTAATTGTGTCTGTGTTTTTTCCCCGCCTGACTCTGGGCAGAACGGACATGGATGTCCAAATTGTCCAGCCGGCCGTCAAAAGGACTCTCATGGCCCTCCGAGCTTCAAGCTGGTTCCGGGAGGGCCCAAGGAAGGCCCCAAGCAGGGCCACAGAAGATCTCCGAAAACGCGCCTTCCTGTGGACGCTGCGAAGGGAGAGGGGTCGAACCGAAAATGGCACAGACTACAACCGCGCCTGAACGGCTTCCAAGCACTCCCATCCAAATTCCAACCGAACAAATATCAATCCCAACCGCTTTGGACGCTTTCTTCCGGACTCCGGATGATTCCTCTGGATGTTCTCAGAGATGCCTTACAGCTTCTCTAAGGTTTGGTCGTGGTGTTCTCCGAGTCCTCGCAACTTCTCCCAGGAATCTTCCAGACTTCCAGATCTTCTCAATTCACATATTCCTCCTCGCAGAGATTCACAGATCCCTCCTCGCAGTCCTCACAGATTCCTCCAGTCTCCTCAGGAGTCCTCAAAGATACCTGAGGCGTCCTCAAGGATTTTCGCAAAATCAACACCATTCCTGGGAGGCTCCTCCAGTAGCTACAACGGATGCTACGACCCTCAGTACTAGGACTCCGATACGTAAAGAGATAGTCAATACGCTAGTCTACCAAGACTACGGGTAGACTGCATAAGGCTACTTCTACTACGACCACCCCACCAGCGGCGCCGTAACTACGGCATAACGAATAAACTACTCCTATAATCTACTACTGCTACTACTACTACTACTACCACTACTGCTACATATACTACTCTACTACGACTACTACTGAACTCCTACTACTACTACTACGACAACTAACTACGACTACACCTATCTTTACTATTATTACTACTCTTACTCTATCTCTTACTTTATCTACTACTAACTTACTAACTACCTACTACCTACTACCTACTACCTATTACCACTACCACCACTACTACTACTACTACCAATACTACTACTACTACATACTACCTACTACTACTACTACTACTACTACTACTACTACTACTACTACTACTACTACTACTACTACTACTACTACTACTACTACTACGACAACGACTACTTCTACGAATACTTCTACGAATACGTCTACGACTACGACTACGACTACTACTACGACTGCTGCAACGAGTACTACACTACTATTACTACTACTACTACTGCTACTACTACTACTACCACTATTACTACTACTACTACTACTGCTACTACTACGATTACTACTACGACTACTACTACTACTACTACTACTACTACTACTCCTACTACTGTACGACTACTATACTACTACGACTACTACTACTACTACTACAACTACGACCTAACTACTCTACTACTCCTACTCACTCTACTCTACTACTACTACTACTACTACTACTACACTACACTACACTAACGACTACGACTACGACTACGACTACTTACTACTTACGCTACTAACACATTACTACTACTACTACTACTACTACTACTCTACTACTACTAGTACTACTACTCTAAGAAGAAAAAATAGAACGAAGACTAAAACGACGACGACGACGACGACGACTACTACCACTACTACTACTACTACTACTACTACTACTACTACTACTACTACTACTACTACTACTACTACTACTACTACTCCTACTACTACTTACTGCTACTACTACTTACTGCTACTACTACTACTACTACTACTACTACTACTACTACTACTACTACTACTACTACTACTACTACTACTACGACTACGATTACTACTATTACTACTATTACTACTATTACTACTAATACTACTACTACTACTACTACTACTACTACTACTACTACTACTACTACTACTACTACTACTACTACTACTACGATTACTACTTCTAGTGTTACTACTACTACTACTACTACTACTACTACTACTACTACTACTACTACTACTGCTAGTACTACTACTACTACTACTACTACTACTACTACTACTAACTACACGACGACGACGACTACTACTACTACTACTACTACTACTGATACTACTCCTACTACTACTACTACTATACTACTACTCTACTACTACTAGCTACTACGACTGGTACTACAACTACTACTACTACTACTACCTACTACTACTCCTTTTCCTACCACCACAAGTTCTAGCATTACGAGGTAAACAAACAAAACAGAAGTTCTTACACAACACTACTACTACAACAACAACTACTACTACTACTACTAATACTACTGGTACTACTACTACTACGACTACTACTACTACTACTACTACTACTACTACTACTACTACTACTACTACTACTACTACTACTACTACTACTACTACTACTACTACTACTACTACTACTACTACTACTACTACTACTACTACTACTACTACTACTACTACTACTACTACTACTACTACTACTACTACTACTACTACTACTACTACTACTACTACTACTACTACTACTACTACTACTACTACTACTACTACTACTACTACTACTACTACGACTTTCGGGCCATGCCTCGGCTCTCCGGCGGCCCTTCGGGACGACCCTGGCACCTCTGGAACGCCCTCGGCGAGGCGCAGCTGCTGGGAGGCATCCCGAGACTGGAAGACCGCCGAGGACCGACGAGAACGCACCCCCCCAATCATCCCCACTGCGCTCAGCATGAGGGGAACTGGTCCGGATGGCAACGGAGGAGGAGGAGGAGGAGGAGGAGGAGGAGGAGGAGGAGGAGGGGGATGAGCAGGAGGAGGAGGAGGAGGGCAGGTTTGTGTCGTGGCCACCCTCTGGGGCCCTCCCCCCGGGACGAGCTCTTCGTCCTGGGCCGTTTCCTGACCGCCCTGGGGCGAGGGTCCGAGAAGGGCGAAAAGCCTCAGGAACCGTTTCCATCGGGGCCCGCTTCCCCTATGTTGAGCTGGGACCGACCGTCCCGGCATTCCTATAGTCCTACAACGAAATGTCCTTAGAACCCAAAAATGTTATAACAACAAAACAGTGTTCTTAGAACATAAGCCCGATGTGTTCAAACAAGACAGACTCCGCCAGAAATGTTCTAAGAACATTTCGTGGGAATCACACTTTGTTCTTAGAACAGTGTTTGGTAGGGCTATAGGCGAGCCAGGACGCTTCGCCACTGCTTGACTACGGCGACCCCCCCATTATTGCAATCGGACCCAGGACAGAACAACATCCTTCAAGAGCACGAGGCCCTCCGCCGGCCAAAGCACCCCAAGCCATCAGATCACTCTCGAGGGTACCATCCCCCCGGGTGCACAAGGACATCCAGCAAGCACGACGAACATTGGGGCACCCTCCCCGAAGCGACGCGGCGGGCCGTCGAAAATACACAAGACTGGGTCGAAAAGGCAAGGATTTGAGCAGGGACCAACCGTCCTGGCATTGCTATAGGCTCCCCACGGAATTATCTTACAACACATATGTTCTAAGAGCCAAAACGATGATCTTAGAGCATAGACCCGACGTGTAACGACAAGACTGTCTTAGCCAGACACGTCCTGAGAACAGCTCGTGCAGACCAACAAAGAAGACTGTTCGAACATTCTTTGCTGGGCTTATAGGCAAGTCAGGACGCTTCGCCACTGCTCGAAGGATGCAAGGGTACCCTCGGGAAGGTTACCCATCCTTATCATCGGTTTCGACGGTACGCGAGATGACACCGCGACATTACGCGGTGGCCGTCGCGGGCCGCCGGCGCGGCACGCTCCACGCTGGAAGCGAGGGCGCTCACGCGCGACCTTACGCGGGAAGCTTGCGCGCCACTGCTGGTGAAGACGACTCCGTGTTTTGCGTCGCCCATGTCTGGTGCAGTCGGCCCTAGGCCAGAAGAACATCCCTCAAGAACACGAGACCCTCCGTCGGCCAGAACACACGGAAAACTCCAAGGGTACCCTCCCCAGGACGCGCGAGAACCTCCGACCGACGCGGAGAACACAAGGGCACCCTCCCCGAACAGATCTCGACATTCTGCCTCGATACGACCGTGTTCCGACTGGGGTCGGCTAGAGGCCTCCTAGATGGGATGGGGTCGGAGGATCGCGCCGCATCGCCGATACATCGCCGATGCATCGGCGATGCATCGGCGATGCACCGGCGATGCATCGTCGACGTGGACCATGCATCGGCGACGTCAGCGTGGAGGATATCGGGCTCCGCATCGAGCCGCAGCGCTGATGCATCGGCGATGCGGCGCGACCCTCCCACCCTATTTACCCCGACCCCATCCAGGAGGCCTAGATCGGCGGCCCTCCGTCGTAGCTCCCCCCACAACTCCTCCGGGCACGCCTCGCCCACCACGCTCGCGCGCCGCCCTGCTCGCGCAGCCACCCGGCAGGCAGCCCACGGCGGGCCTGCGCCGCGGCCCCTTTCGCGCCGAGCACACCGAGCTCGTGGCCCAGTGGGGACCCAAAGAATATGCACCACCACCACGTCGATTCCTCCTTCTCTCCTCTACCCTCCTCTTCCCCTGCTCTTTCCTGGGGAGAGGGAGGGAGTGAGGGGGGGGGGGGGCGTATATTTTTGGGCCCCCCACCCAAGACCAGGCGTCTGGTCGATGCCCGGGGGCCCGATGCAGCTCCCGACGGCGCTCCTGTGGCAGTGGCAGCCCGGCACGCCGCAGACGAGCACACTCGAGGTGAGCTCCTGCATCCACGACTGGACCATCTACGAAGGTTTCACGAACATCCTCCTCATCATCATCACTGATCTGCGTCATCAGCATCGTCATCAGCATCATCAGGTCCAGGATGCGGAAGCATCGTCATCAGCATCATCAGGTCCAGGTCCTCGTGCACCTCGGACTTCGGGCGCGTTGGCCTCATCGAGGCCCAGGCCGGACCTGCTCATCTGCGACGCTCTGTGATGATAGGCACCCGATTCATGCCGTGGGGGCGCCGGGTGCCTACGTACGTAAGTATGCCATGCAGGACCGACGGTGGGGGGCAGAGCAGCAGCAGGCGCCAGGCTAGCGGCACCAGACAGCAGGCAATGGCTACGGACCAGCATCAGAACATCGATGATGTCTCGAGCGGCAGTCGTGGCCAAGACAATGAATTCGAGGACCCCCCCCTCTCAGGAGCCCATAAACGATCATCACGAATGATCAGGCATTCCGAACATGCTGCGCATGCCACTCACGTGCATAACTCCTCCCTTTGCTTCCTCCCTCTCTCTCTTCCCCCCCGCTGCCACTCACCATCCCCCACCAATGTAGACTGAGAGATGCCTCGCGAGAGGTGACCCAGCCAGCTTCGCCTGAGACATCCTCGCAACTCTGGGCTCGTGCCCTGGCCTGAGGTGGTCCACCCAATCCCACCAGCCCTCTGGGCGTAGGTGGCTCCTCCTCCTCCTCCTCCTCCTCCTCCTCCTCCTCCTCCTCCTCCTCCTCCTCCTCCTCCCCTCTTCCCCTTCGGGGAGGCGCTCGCCCCTCCCCCTGATCCCCTCCCCCCTGGACCTGGACGGGGCGCCCCGCGACCGACTGGAGCGTCCAAGATGGCCCAAGATGGCTCCAAGAGGGCCTGGGAGGGCCTAAGAAGGAGGAGGAGGAGGAGGAGGAGGAGGAGGGAGGAGCAGGAGAGGAGGAGGAGGAGAGAGGAGGGAGGAGGAGGAGGAGTAGAGGAGAGGAGTAGAGAGCAGGAGGAGGAGGAGGGAGACGGGTCGCGTAAGCCTCGGATACCCCTCCCCCCCCCCCCCTGGACCTGGACGCGGCGCCCCACGACCGACCGGATCGTCCGAGATGGCCTGGGATGGCTCCAAGAGGGCCTGGGAGAGCCCAAGGGAGGAGGAGAAGGAGGAGGAGGAGGGGGAGCAGTGGGAGGAGGAGGAGGAGGAGGAGCAGGAGGAGGAGGAGCAGGAGGAGGAGGAGGAGGAGCAGGAGGAGGAAGAATAAGAAATACGATCTGACCTAGGCCAGAAGAACATCCCTCAAGAACACGAGGCCCTCCGCCGGCCACCACGCACAGGACATCCAAGGGTACCCTTCCCGGGGTGCACAAAGAGCGTCCAGCAAACAGCAGGAACACCAAGGTACCCTCGAGCTGACCTCGACCTTATACCTCGGCCCGGCTGCAGCTCAAGATAGCCTCCAAGGTGGTCCAAGAGGCTCCAAGACCGCCCCAACACGGCTCCGAGTGGCCTCGGGGCACCCCCAAGAGAGCACCCAAGAGGTCATAATCCTTCCCAAGCCTAGGGACAATCAATGCGGTTTGCTTCCTCGCCTTTTCGCTTATGATGGCTTTCCGAGGCGTCAAGATGGACGCAAGATGGGCCAAGAGGGCCCCGAGAGGGCCCAAGAGGGACCGAAGATGGCCCCAAGAGCGACCACGAGCGCCCCGCTCCAAGAGGCGACTTTCGCGGCTCCAGAGGGGCGATGCTAATTGAAGCTCTCACCTTCTTTGAGCGACCTCCTCCAAGATGGCCTCACGAAGGCCTCCAGGACTCCCAGGAGAGCCCCAAAAGAGCCCCAAGAGGCCCCCGGGAGGCCCCCCAAAGGCCCCTAGGCGGCTCCAAAACGCCGCAAGAGGCCTTGCAGGAAGCCCCCAGGAGACATCCCAAGAAACTCCGAGAGGCACCCAAGATGCCTCTGGCATTCTGCTCGCCCTCCTCCCCCTTCGCTTCTCCTCCTCCTCCTCCTCTTTCCTCCTCCTCCTCCTCCTCCTCCTCCTCCTCCTCCTCCTCCTCCTCCTCCTCCTCCTCCCCCCCCTCTCCTCTTTGAAAGATAACAGCTGCCCCCTCTCTTGCTCCTACACTTCCCTGATAACCTCAACTCTCCTGGGCATCGTTTCTGGACGGGCTTGTGGGGATAGGCGAAGCGCCACCAATTCCGACTGAGAAATCCTCGCAACTCTTCGCTCACAGCTGCCCTGGACTGAGGTGGTCCAACCAATTCCGCCTGAGAGGTTCGCTTGAGATACCTCGGAAATCTGACCTGAGCTGGTCGGGACATTTTCGTCTGAGACATCCTCGCAACTCTGTGCTCACAGTTGCCCTGGCCTGGGGTGGTCCAACCAGTTTCGCCTCAGATATCCTCGCGAATCTGGGCTCACAGATGCCCTGGCCCAGCCAGTTTCGCATGAGACATCCTCGCAACTCTGACCCGAGCTAGTCGGGCCATTCTGGCCTGAGACATCCTCGAACTCTGGACTCGGAGATGCCTTCGTCGCCGATTTCGTATGGAAATGGGACCCGCCGCTAGTCCACGCACCTTAGTCCGTCTTCGCGCTTCCCCAGCAAATGCCCACAGGAGTCACCCGAGAAGCCCCCCAATTTTCCCCTCGAGTGTCTCTCCCCTGAGGCCTCTGGAACACGTCGAGTAGGGGATCTACTACAGAATTTATTTACCTCAAGACTGTTTTTCCCGCCGAGTCTACGAAACAATCCGTATAATGCCCCGTAGATCTACGAGCATTCTTCGCGTTTCTGGCGTTTTGGCGGGGAAACCAATTTCGGAGGAAATCTATTTGAACATGACCCGAATAGAGTACTTTCGAACATGGCGTAACCGAACATTCGAAGAGTCGAACATGGTGTTACTGACACTAAATTCTGGTGTAAACCCAAATGTAGTCGATCGTCTATTCGAAGACGACCCAGGCGTTGTCGCCAGCACGCCGAGCTCGGCTGGAGTCCAGCCAGCCGGCGCCTCTTCCGACCACGCGCAAGAGCGACCCTGGGCAAGAGTTGTGGATGCCACGACCATGGACACCCTAGCAATCCTATCGTTGAACTTAACAAGGGTTTTAACATGTCGAAACATGTTCTAAACATGTTTTTAAACATGTGCTTACATGTTTAAAGCATGTAAACACATGTTTTAGACATCTGGAAATGATTTGGCAACATGCTTCCTCTCCATTGATCGCCCTCCACAAGGCAAGAGTGACCTCTGGTGCGCGGCTTCAGGGGGCCGCGGGTAGGCTGGACCCCAGACCCCCTCGCGCTGCGAAAACATCACGACTGGGAGCTTTGCACCATCTTCGGCCTCGGGGGGGCCCTGAAGATGGGCCGCGGGACCGTCCACAAAACAACTCGGGATACAAAACCGGCCCTGCAGACCCAGACCCCCGACATCGACCCCATGGAGGTCTGGACTCCTTCGTGGTTTTGTTGACGGTCCCGAGACCAGGGAAGGCTGGAGGCAGAAGAAATGAAGAAACACCTCCCGCCGTGATCTTTGTCACAGACGCGAGGGGGTCCGGGGACTTCTGGGGGTCCACCTTCGTGAACAAAAATCACGGCGTCGGGGGTCTGGGCCTGGTGCGCGGCTTCTGGGGGCCGCGGGTAAATGGGCCGAGCCCAAGCGCGCAGGCCAGACTGCTGGGGGGACCCCGTGCGCGGTCCCCGGAAGTCCCGACCCGTTCCCCGGGACCAGTCTTTCCTCCCGAGTCGTGTTCTGACGGCCCTGGGGCCCGGCGAGGGCCTCCAGAGGCCGAAGGCAGCGAAAAACCTCGGTCCTGGTCTCTGTACGAGGCGATCATGTCTAGTCATCCCAGCGAAAGGCCACTCTCACGCCCGTGTGCCGCAGCGCCGGCCCTCGAGCTTGGGCACCGGAAGTGGCAGGGCTGTTTTTGTTCACCGCTTCTGGAAGCGGTTCAAAAAACGGCATATGGCAACCAGAAGCTGCTAAAAAGCTGCTCTGGTACTGGAACCGGAACCAGAAACAAAAAACGGGCGACGGAACCAGAAAAAAAACAAAAAAAAACTGCGCCGGAACTAGCAACAGAAAAACGGTAGAGCGGAACCTGTCAACAAACGGCCCAGGGCCCACTAAAAGCTCCCCAGACATCTGGCCGCTCACTTTTTTCGATGCGTGGGCCCCCGAGGTCTGGACCACGTCCCCAGGGCCGGTTTTGTGTGCTGATGAACCGCCTTTTGACGGTCCCGAAGCCTGGCGATAGCTCCCAAAGTCCGAAAACGGCCAAAAAACTGGCCGCTCCGAATTCTTTTTGAACGTCGGCTCTCTGGGTACACGCAGCTCCCGGGCCGACCCCCAGGGGGAGATCTCGACCCATTCCCCAGGACCAACTTTTCATCCTGAGTCGTTTCTTCACCTCCGAAGCCTGGTAAGGGCCT